ACTGGAGTAGCAATCTCCTAGTAAAAGATTACTTCTACAGTAATAGTCATTTCAGACAATACTGTATTAGTGATAAAACAGCATAAAAGGCCATGAACTGCTTCTCTTTGTTAAAAGCTTTATTTTGAAAGCACAGTAGAGTAATAGATAAAGCAAATGAAAAGCAAATATTACGTTTAATCTTTACCTTCAAGCATAAAGTTACAGTATCCACAAACTGCAGACATGTCTTCTTGGTTGCACTAATTTGCATAACATGGTAGCAACTTGCATCTAGAAGTATACGACGAAGAGAATTTTGAAGTTTAGTTAACTTCTTATAGATTGTGCGAATCTTCAGTGGGGAGAGTAACCAGTTAGTTTGCAGAGGGGACTCCAGGTTTGATTAGGATAGGAGACAGATGTTCTGTGGTATGTGATAAAAGTTGAGTTCAGTTAAAGCATTATGTGTCGTCAGCATGGATACTGGGTGTTGGTTTTGGGTGTTTGGTTTTCTTTTTGTAAGTATGAAGTAGAAATGTTTGATGTCCTATTCTACAAAAATGACCTCACTACTTGAAATAGTTCCTGTTTCCACTCTCACATTTGCCATTACTAGCCAGAAGTCACTTCTGGATTTACCTTTAGGGAAAACAAACAAACAAACAAACAAAAAAAACCAAAAAAAAACAAACAAACAAACAAAAACCAAACAACACACACACAAAACTCCCCACTCATAATAGCATGATATTATTCTGTTATATCTGTTAGAAGACAAGGATATATAAATGGAAAGATATGATGAGTCCAGCTCTGTCATCGTCAGTTTTACATTTGGAATACCATTGAATCCACAGAAAAGATGTGTTGTCACAGTGCCTAGTGAGAAGGTGACTGCATTACTCCCCTGATCCTGTCTCTTAACATCTTGTTTGGAACTGTGAGGTTTCTGCATCCTCTCTGCAACAGTTACAAGCTATAGGCCTTTGTACAGTGGAGTTTCTTGAATATGACTTTTTGTAACATACAGTAGTTTTTTCTTAACTAGTGAGAGCCTCGGGATAATTTTGCTTAATGCTGGCAGTCAAAATCAGAACCAGAGAGCAAGAATCATTGCAAAATTCCATGCATTAACTAAATATTATTCTGGGGAAAGGGAATCATTGTATTTTTGCTTCGGGGTTCTCATCAAACATGTGTCTTGCATTACCTTTCACTAAATATCTCTTTGACTGCTTTTGCTTGTGTTTAAACAATCAGGAACAAATTTGGCATGTAGTTTGTTTACTGCTTAACAATGGGGACCACTCAACAATTAGAAAGTTTGTCCTAGACTTCAGGCTGCAGATAATATCTTTAGCTTCCTTTTTATTTATTTTTTTAAATATTTGTTTAAAGCAGAGTCCAGAATCCAAACTAAAAAGGAGCTGCATATTGTTTCTGAGGCTTTAGATCTTGTAGAGATTGGATTTATCAAACTTTTGTTGTTCTGCCTTTAAATGGCGTCACTCGTCTGTAGCCTGTAGACCTAGACCATGCAGTTGATTTATTTTATTGTTTTATTTTTAAATGTGGGAATTGCCTTAGGCATTTATGCTAATATTCATATTTTCTGAATTAGTGTTGTATTGTTGCAGCCATTCTATTGGAGGAAACTATAGTATTCATGCAAGTGACTGAAATAGGAATGAAATGCATAATAGAGTTTAGTATAAAAGTTGACATAAACCCTACATTTTAAATAAAGCCAGACAAAACTGGTAGCTGCTACATAAAAACACTTGATCTGTTGCTGTTCTGCACACATTCACCTGACAGTCATGCTCTTCAGTACTCCCGCAAAATGTGGCACTCGGTAAATAATTATTCTTCTGCCCATCAGCTCACTTCCAGGAGCAGCTGCTTCTTCCTCCTAACTTTTAGGCCAGATTCCTCTTAGAGCACAGGACTTGAAGGGATTTATTAGGCAACTAAATCTCATCCTGTAGCATTGACAAGAAACATGCACCCTAAGGAATCACATGCTAGCCTTCATCATAATAATATAGTTAGTTTATGTTGTTCTTGGGGGTTTTTTTTTGGTTGTTTTTTTTTTTATTTTATTTTTTTTTATTTTTTTCTAGTGTTAGGTCCCCTTGATGTATTTGTAGACCTGATCTCGGTAGCAATCTGTGCTTTAGATTAATGATGGGTGGTAGAAAAAGCAATTTCACAGTTTGAAGCAAATATACTAGTATATGGGCACTGACAGAATTAGAAGAGGGAGAGTCCCAAGAACAGACTCCAGCTTTTCCTTGCTCTTTGGGCCTCCAAGGGAGAACAGTGTAGTTCTGCTTCCTTTGGAAAGGGCAAGTTGTGGACCCTCCCTTGGTTGTGGCTACAGCCCCACCTGAATGCAGTTGTAATATTGTTTTGGGGAAGACCACTTAACAAAGGTATTTCACTCTGTTTTCTTCTGTTTTCTTCTTCTTCTAGCCAACATAGTAGTTTGCATCAGTTCCATTTCTACTTCATTTTTGCAGAATATGAGTGACAAGAAATGTACACACTTATTCCAGATGAGCTGTTGCCACTTGGTGTGACTTTTTATTTCCTTATAGGACTTTTGGAGTGGGTTTGCATTCACTTTTTAATTCACTTTTTTTTTTTTGGTCAGCTTTGGGATAGTTTTCTTGTTTAAAACAAAAGCAACAAAGGACTCCCTCTATATGTTGATGACAGCAGCAAGCTTAAATTATTCTATTATTGTGAGATGCTTCAGAGTTGAGCAAAAGCAATAATGGTGGGGGTTGGAATCAACAGTTTCTCTAACATCTTCCATACTGCATTCAGTCTTGTCAGTTGTTGGAGTGGACAGCTTTAAGGAGGTGGTTTTGAACTTTTATTATGTAACATACCACATTGTTTCTTTGTGAAGTCCAGCCTTTTCTGGAAATATGGCTTGCTAGCAACACCAGTTAAAGAGTTTCTGTTCTTTTTGAAATTTTGTATTTTTGTACCCACTTTTTTTTTTCCTGATAGAATGAAAGATACTTGTTTGATTGTTATTAGAGATGTACACTGCAATGTAGTTGTTAGAAAGACTTGGTTGGTACTTTGCTACCTGAGATCTATTTTGTTTTGAAAACATTTTGTAGCTACAAAGTAGTAAACAGATAATGGCTTCTTTTTACAACAAGAAATTCTCACGCTATTTGTCACAACTTTTATCTCAGTTCCAGGCTTAAATGAGACTTATGTTCCATTTAAAAAACATTTAGAGTACTTATAGTCTATTAGAAGCATAGTGTGGGATATCTAATTATAATTATAACTAATGATATAACTAATTATAGTTTTATGAATTACATTAATTTCCCATTTGAATTAAAAAAATCTGACTATCATATCCTATTTCAGCCCATTTTACTTCAGTTTTAAATTTCTAATAATAATGTATTGCAAGTATTAGACAATTGCATAAGAATTTCTTGCTAATTTCTGACAGATGACATCAATAGCTATGCCTTGAATTTAGGTCTTTAACCTTGTGAACAACAGTTAACGACACACTTGGTTTCTAAAGGTAAAATTTTCAGTTCATGAGCAGAATGCTGTATTTTCATTTCACTGTAACTAGTTAGGAATCTAAGAGGAAAGGAAGATGAAATACTTTCATGTTCAATGGCTATGAAGGTTTAAGGGGGTAAAAAAAAAGAGTTAATAAAACAATTGGCCAGCCAACCACATCCTCAGAAAAGCTATACTGCAAGCACCATGAGTTTCTCAAGTTTCCTTTCCTAAGCAGTCTCAGTGGCAGAGTTCTGGGTCAGGCTTTTACATCTCTTCAACTGCTGCTCAAACATTAACATACAAACCTGTGTCTGAAAACTTAAATGAATCAAAGCTGGCCACAGAACAAACATCTTGTGGGTACTTTTATGGGTTTTTTAAGAAGTGAATTGGATCATGACATTCTTTGGCTAAATTAATTATTTTTTCTAATCTCATTTCTACTAATTTATTTCTAGATAATTTTACCAGTGGGACTGATATTGGTGTTAAGATGGAAACTGTGTAACTTGAAAAAATATCTGTATGTTTCCTGACTGCAATGTAAAAAGAACTTGAACTTACAGTTCTCATTATCTTGCTATTTTTCTTTCCTCCAAGTGATTCACAAAGGTTTTCTTCAGTGTGTTTAGTACATGCAAAACTCAGCAACCTGAGTAGATTAAATATTAATCTCTTCCATGTATGCAATAGCTGTAACCCTGCATTTGAAAAGTACTTCATCTAGAATCATGTTTTTACAGATAAGGGCCTTTTTCTGGCATTACTTGCTTCTTATTCCAATGATATAAAATTTACAGTAAGTTGAATTCAAGCAGCTTAGAGCCCTGTGGAAGACAGTCTGTGAATCGCCAATATGAATTTTATTTAAAAAGCAAAATAACCATGCACATATTGGGATTTTCTTTGATCACTTTTAGGGAATATAAAAGGTCTCAAAGCTTTTTTGTTTTTTATATTCCCTAAAAGTGATCAAAGAAAATCCCAATATGTGCATGGTTATTTTGCTTTTTAAATAAAATTCATATTGGCGCCTACTACGTCAAACATTCAAATAAAATACAAATTCTCACAGTTTTAGCTTACATCAAAGATGGAAATCATTGTGTGGTTTTGGAAACCAAAGCAATTCCAAGATAGACACAGTTGGAATTTTTTTTTTATATGACAGCCTGTTTCATACACTCAGTAACATCAACGTGAAGTTGTAAGTATGCATCCTAATGAAGGAGGAAGTCTAGGAGAACTTTTATAGTGACTTTTAGGATTAAGATTCAACTAGATGACATAGTTACTTACACTTGTGATGGATATGCAGCAGAAGCAAACTTAAATAATCAAATTACTCATTTTTAGATGTACATATAGACTACAAAGTACTATTTCTTGAATTTGTTGTTAGTAATGTGAAATATCGTGTACATTTTCTTGCAGATTAATACTAATAGTTGGGTTTCTTTTGGCAGGTTGTCAAGTTGTTAAGTAACAAAAGATCTCAAGCTGTTGGAATATTAATGTCTAGCCTTCATTTAGACATGAGGGATATTCAGCATGGTAAGTGAAAAAAGTATCATTGATTCTAGCTCAAATCACTTCATTAATAATCCAGAAATGCTAATTATTTTAAAATTTTGATATGTAAAATAATGAGGCTTTTTTTACACTATTTTTCTGAAAGTAGTTTGTTCTGACACTTATTTTCCCATTTCTAGTAACATATTCCCTTGTCCCATAACAAAAATAAAACTGTTTATTTGCAGAATTGCCATCTATATTTTTTGGCATCAATTATCTAATTGATATAAAAGAGAGGCACTTCGATTTTGGTGTTTCTGAAGAAGAAAGTGTGAAGTGTGGTTTGTTTTAATTCAGATAGCCTCATGACGTATCCAGAAAAGTGAATTATAGCATTTAATTGATTTGCTGTATAAAATAGTTCCTGTATTTGGGTTAGCACAAACTGTGGAGTTCTTTCATCTTCAACAGCATTTTTTATGAAGGGAGATCTTTTGGGGGACTGTAATAGTTTTCACATTTATGCTAAGAGACAGTAGTGCAAAAAGGTGAAAAGTGGAATTGCATTTATATTCAGAGCATCCCTTATGTTTCCCAAAGGCTTTGGATAGATTTGAAGCAGATTGAATTATCCTGTGAAGTGCCAGCCTATCTGTTAAATTAATGTGGTTTCAAGTATAACACAGACTTCATAAATCATAAAAACATCTTGTGAACTTTCTAGGCTACATATTTACAGCCATGCATTCAGTTTGCTATGGTTTGCTTATTTTGTGAAATTATTCATAAATAGAACAAATTTCAGAGCAGTCTGTCAGCTAGTGAGTAACTCTTAATCAGAGTTTTAAGATTCTATTAAACTGTTTTGATGGTTACTAGACTTCCTCAAGCTGAAGCACTTAAGATGGTAGTCATAGAGCAAGGCGCCAGTACTGGCGCCAAGATGTACTTGGTATTTCCAAAGCTGGCAGATGTAGTTCAGTTAAGTCATAGAGCGAAATCTGAAAACAATGATATGGTCCTTTCCTTCAGTCAAATATTCAACTTGGTTTCAGTTAATAATGAGAACCTTATGAACAAAGGAGTCCGCCTAACATCTGTGTCTGTGGTAAAGCCAACACAAGTTCATTGAAAATTTGCTTGCTTAACATGCAACGCTAACAATAACATGGCATGAATGTCAGTAGTTGAAGGGGTCAGACAATATTATGTTTAACCTTTATCCTATTACAATATTAAGCACACATGATAATCTGAGCTGTGTGCAGATTTTATATATTCCTCTTTCAGTTACTGTTGTCTAAAACCAGAAGTCTTTGCAAAGGGGAACTTAGTGCTCTTATTCCCTTGCTGCACAGACATGATTGAACAAACGTGAGAGAACTTTTGTCTGATGGGGGAATTTGTGAAAATATTGGGGGTTTTTAAGAATATAAAATGGACATGCAGGAAAAGTGTTGAAGAGCAAGAAAGAAATTTGCGTGGTGGGGGCAAGGAAAATAAAGATCTTGCTAAGAAGTATTTCTGGCATCAGTCACTGAGTGAGTCTCTGAGTGATCTAATCATAGAGTCCACGAAGAAATTATAAAATCACAAGACCAAGAATTTAGCTTCACCTTTATGTATGCATTATTTTTACTTGCTTGTTAAAAAGTAAATGTTTTACATATTTTTGAGTTTTATACCTTACTAGTTTATCTGCTGCAATTTGAATATGCTAATGAGACAGTACTATTAAAAATTAAAATATTATTGACGAGTGCACGCATTAGCGAACTAGGCAGTTGATATATTTGCATCTTTATAAATTAAGATTTAAGAGGTGAGACAATAACTACAGCAAAAAACATGATCAGTAGTCTTCATCCCATGGTTCAGGGTTTTAAGAGTGGTCTTGAGTTTTTACCATGTTTAATGTACTGTGATGTGTACATTTACTCATATCTTACTGAGTACAATACAAGCAATATGCTTTCATAAATTTTTAAGCTAGTCAAATGAAACTCCACACCTGACTTGTCCCCATCCCCAATTTGTGGTAGTAGGCAACTTTCTTTATAGACTTGCTTGTAAATATTCCCTATATAACTTATAAAGCATATCTGTGGGATGTAGTGTTCATGCAAATTGCAGAACAACTGTAATTTTTTTTTTTTTATTGGCCTTAGAAAGGCACCCAGAAAGAGAGAGAAACTTTTAATGCAATGTGGTATTCAGTCCATTTCTTGGTTTGCATGCTATTGTGTTTTATTTTTCTAATGGTTTAGACAAATTTCAAAGTATTACAGGAACAGAAGGGAAAACAATCGTGCTGGATATAAATTCACCTAATAAATTTAGGATTTGAAGTTTTAATTAATCTTGTGTTTAACTGAAGAGCTTAAAATAACTTGAACCTGGGCAAATGTTGTATTTAATGTCTTGTAAAATTCTTTTTGCTTGGTTAGGTTTTTTTGGTATGTTTTTGCTTGCTTTTTAAGATATAAAATAATGGTGAAATATTATCTGCAAGAAACAATCCCTGATGAAAGATTGTTTAGGGGACTTGAAAATTTGAATCGTTTATGCTATTTTGTTCAAGATCAGTTAACACTTAGGTACTTCTTCATGCGTTTCTGATCAGATGGCATTTAAAGGAAGATCTCAGAATATTGTAATACATGCTAAATAGATTTGTTTGATGATATCCTTAAGGTCTACTTGTAGTGTCCTTGTATTTGTCTGCTCCTGACTTTGAAACAGGTTTATTAAGACAAACTCCCAAACCCTGGCTGCTTTTAAAATATTTTTACAGTGTGGAAGGAGTAGTTGTAATAATCAGAGCACATTTGTACTGAACTCTAGTACATCTTTCTAGTAGTGCTTTGAAGTAGGGTAGGTTGATTTTTGTTGTTATTATGAGGGGTATTTTTAGTAGATTATAATTGCTAACAGAACTCCCAGTTATTTTACGCATCTAGGCAAGAACTTTAAGAAATGTTGGTCTCTTTAGTTGCAGTGCCATTTCTCTATGTTTTTAGTACAAAAATGAGTCCTCTTCTCATGGTTTCTCTGGTTTCACACAAGGTTTTACTGACGCCTATTTTTTGAAATCATCTATCAACTATGCAAAACACTTTATTCAGGCATTTTGCTTGCTTTTTTATTTTTGCCACACCGCAAATATCCTTTATCCAGTATTATGTTCCCACTGGAAATATAGCTGTATTTGGCTTCATGATACAGCCAAAGCTCAAGAAATGCCAAACAAGCACTTCTTACATATTTTTCCTTTTTTCTTCCTAGAGAAATTACTGGTTTTAACATTAGTGTTTTGGGTTTTTTTCTTAACATTGCAGAGATGTGTGCTTAAATTAGAGATCCAACAAGACTCCAGTTAACTGCATATAGTAATCTATAATGAACACCCTATACATTAATATATAATTGCATGTTAAGCCTGTGTCTGCATTTAGGGACCACATCTCTTAAATAAGATATCTCTGTTTATTAAAGTTGTCTGTTATCACATGAAATCTAACAACTGTTTGAAATTGTAACTACGTTCCAGAGAATATGGTTGTCAGTGCCCTTCCCCAATCCCCTTGCTTATAAAGATTCAATGTAACCTCTTCAGTGTATAAACTTTAATGCTTGTTAACAAGTACAGTAAGAAAAGCAAAAAATTCCTCTGTGTGTAGAAAACATAGAAGGAAAAAATTAAACTGAAGATGTCACATGGAAGAAAAGCAAATTTTATATTTCATGCAGATAAATATTTCATTTACTACATATTCAGATTTATATCTACTATTTATGTCCAAAATGGAAATTAATGTTTTGTTCACTAAAATCATCTTAGTCTGAGTGTACCTTGTAAATATTAAAAGTAGAAGTTTGGCAAAAATAGTGTATGTAATTTTATGTATTTTGAGGTTGTATGTAATGTTTTTCAATTCAGTAACTTTGTCTTAATAGGGTTTATGAATTTGGGCACTGTGTTACCTCTGGCATAGCTGCAATATTCTAACTATATTTCTGCATGGTTTTGCATAGCACCGTGTGGTTGCCCTGGCTCTGTTGGAAGTATTAGTTTGGAGACTTCTGTCTCTGAATTTTGGACCACCTTTCTTATATCCTCATATAATAAGTCATTTTTCCCCCCGTCAGAGATAATGGTAATCTACAGAACTTGATAGAGCTACCTATCCCACTCTGATTACAATAATCAAACAAACAAACAGAAAACCCAAACAAACACACACAACACACACACACACCCCACCCCATCCCCAAATATATGGAAGACCAAGGCGATCTCCTTCTCATTGTTGGTCAGTGATACTAGGGAAGGAGGCTGTATAGAAGAATGTAATAGGAAAAATTGTTATGGAAATGGCAGGCAGATTCACCTAACAGCTGGTAAAAATCCAACTTTTTAATCTGGATTTGAGATTATTTTATTGAAAGTTGTTTTTGCAGCAGAAATTGCTCTGCTAACAGAAGTACAACTTTGAACAACACATATCTTCTGCCCTGAATTCCAGACAGATGTGCAGGAAGTGAATGTACTTTAATGTTAGTGGGCAAAATAAATGTTTATTCTTAAGTATTTGGCTATTAGTGACAAAGGAACATGAGAAAATCTTGGTTTTGTTTTCTTACTTGACTGCTCACACAAACACTTAGAAATTATGAGCTAGGAGAGCCTTTGTCAAAGGTTAACTGAATTATTTCTCTGGAGGAGGATGATGAAATGTCTCTTATGTTGCATTATTTAAATGTTCGGTGCAGAGGTTCTTTACACATTGAAGTATCGTGTAGTCTAGGTCATACGTCCAAGAGATGCTCTAAATGGAAAGCAATCATGAAAGAATGACATCTGGAAAATAATACACAATTGGTTTACCTTATGGAAGATCTCGAAGTGATCTGAGTATTATTTATCCTAATTTGTATATGCATATTAATTTGAAACTCATAATACTGAAATATTTTTCAAGAATGGGTATTTTCCTGAAAGACATTTTACTGTTTAAACAAGTTATGAGGATGAAATA